GGCCCTTCCTCCACAGCAGCCGGGCCTGGGGAGTACAGCGCCGGATGTTCTGGCCTCTGCAGCAAACCTTCATCAGGCCCCACCCTCAAGTCCTCTTCCCGCCAAAGTGCTCACCTGGCCCACCCCACCTTTTGCTGAAATCTACCAATCCCCTCCTCCCCTCTGCCCTGGGCTGGCTGTTTGATACCTGAAGGCCTTTGCACCTGCAAGGCCCTCCCCCTAGAATGCCCTTCCACTCTAGTGGGGCTCCACGCATCCTCTCTGCCTGGGAATGTTTGCTCCCTTCAGGGCACCCCACCTGCTGGATCTCAACACATTTCATACTAGGTTGAGATTATCTACCTGACCCCAGGAATAAGGAGTTCTGAGACAAGGACAAGAGTCCACTGTCCTGTGTCCCCAGCAGACAACACCGCACTGGGCATGTGATTGGGGCCACCAGAGTAGAACGAGGAGACCCAGGACCCTCCTCTTAACTCTTAACACCTACAACTATAACACATAACATGGGGATACCGGAAGAAGCTGCTCAAACTGCTGGTTGGGTGGAGTTTTGGGGACTATGTGTGAGTACTCAGAAAACTCATCCAGCATCTCTTCTTGTCGTACACATGGCTAGCCTCCTCTCTCATCCCACATCCTGACCCCTGAGTTTGGCAGGGCAGTGTTGCCCTAGGGGAGACTGAGGCAGATGGGTAATGACTTGCTCATGGTCACAGAGCACATACATTGCAGAGGTGGCTCTAGAACCCCAGGTTCCTGCCCTCTCTCTACCAAGGCAGGTGTTCATGCTTTCTCCATCCTTTCCCCAAACCATGAAAGCCCCTCTGATGAATCAGGCTACAGACCACACTCATAGGAAGGGCAAGACACCCGTTCGGGAATCATGGCTGCCACAGAAATCAGACTTCGTGTGTGAACCAGCAGTGAGGGCCTCCCTTGAGAAAGCTGGAGGGTTCCCCCACATGCAGAACTCCTGCCAATCCCCATCACTTCACAGCAATCCTATCTCTGGAATCCTTTGGCCCAGCATTCACCAGCACACAGGATTAGGATGGATGGAACACAGGGCAGTTCTGGATACACAGATCCAACCAGTAATAAAAATGAATTACACAGTGAGGAAGTGATTCCCTTCTCAGCAATCTCCCGTCCCTTCAGATTCCATGCAGGAGCCTCCTTTCGGCTCTACCGCGCTACCTCCCTGAAACTTGCAGACAAATAATTTTAAACAAAGAGAGAGCAGGCCCCAGGCTCAGAGCCCCCACAGCACATGGATTCCAGCCCAAAGCATCAGGAGGCACTACTGGCAGAAGGTGAGGCTCAGGGAGGCTCTGTTGGGGCAACTCAGCTAGGCTGGAGGTCCTGGGCTCCTTTACACAGACTCTGCTGAGGGATTCTGTCTTCATCCTAAAGGTATGGGTGGTAGAGGCCTCTCAGGGCTAGCCGAGGAAGCAGGAAGTGGGCACTTGAATGGCATCACCCAGCTCCTTCTCGAGACCTGAGGACAGCATGAGGGCTACCCCACTGCCATGGCCCCTGTCCCATCCCCACCATAAGCCTCTCCTCTGCAGATGGGAGACGTAAGCCTCTAGAGGAGCAGAAAGCTGTGGTTCAGCTGTGCAAACAGAGAGGAAGGGAAGGGAGCAGAGTACACATGCCTTTAGGGATGGGCAGATCTGAGTTCAAATCCCCTCAGTGTGCCTTAGTTTCCTCATCTGACAGATGGGGCTAACAGTTCCTGCCTCCAGTATGGCAGGGCTACACGAGATCACAAGCATAGAGCACTTAGCGGAGCCTGGCACACAGTAGGTGATAGATACATAATATGTAACCGTTATTAACGTTGTGGTTATTCTGCCTGGAGCTCAACCCCTTGTGTGTGAATGGGGATGGGAGGCCCAAGCGAGGCGAAGGCAGGAAAGTCAGGAATCTGATGCTTTCCGTGAACTATCACATCAAATCCTCAGAGTGCATGAGGGTGGTCCCAGGAACATAGCGATTTTACAAGCAAGGAAATTGAAGCTCAGAGAGGTAGGGTACTCCACCAGAGTCACACAGCATGCAAGCGGCAAGACAGGTCTCAGGTTCCAGCCACCAGACTAGGCTGCTGCCACATCTAGGCCCAGGAAGCACCCATTATAAAACCAGTACTGTGGGCCAGGCTGTGGGCCCCCCACGCTGGCTTAGCCCAGGGAGCGGAGGCTGCATTGCCTGGGGTTGTGCACACTGTTAAGTGGCAGAGCAGGGTCGGGAGCTCTGGCCATGGATGAGGCTGCTTCTTACCTCCATCAGTGCCTTTGGTAGGAAGAGAAATGGCCCAGGTGGTCTGCAGTGCTAGCTGAAATTGATGTGTGGAAAGCACAGCAATAAATAAGTAATAAATAAATAAGGAGGCCGAGGCTCCCAGGGTGTGGGAGAGGCAGAGTTCTGACCTGGTGGGGTTTCCTGTCACCAGTTAACCCTGAAGGGTGCCCTGTAAGTGTCCCATGCCTTACAGGTGAGGACACCCCCAGGACCACATCCAGACCTGCATAGAGAGGTGAGTCTGCCAGCGAGGCCCAGCTCTGGGTCTCTGTCCCCTACACACCCACCCCAGGAACCCCACAGGCCTCAGGGCCCACTGCAGGAGTACGCATTTATGTGCAAAACTGACTACAGAGCCCAGCCTGAAAACTCCCTGACTATGTGGCCTTAGGCCACTTCCCTTCCCTGGGGCCCCTTAGCTCTTCAGCTGCAAGAGGGAGATGATAACCTCGCCC